ACTTGCGGCAATCTACTGAATTTTTGCATTATTTTTTCTACATCAAATAATAAAGAATCAAACATATTCATTTTCTACACACTTAAAACAATTTATTCTTTACAAGATTATATAAGAATTTATACATATGCTAAAAAGATATTTAAGTTTCAAAAGTTAGGGAAACTGTTAATTTATTATATAATGCAGTCAGATTGATCCAAATTCAGATTAGGATTTACAATTTTCGTAATATACATACTTGTAACTTCAAAATTATATTGAAATAAATTACTGACTTACTAGTTTTTTATAAAACAGACATAAATGAAAACAAAAAAACAAATTTGAATTAAATTTAGAAATATATTGGGTGAGTTCTGTAACACGGAGCCTAAATAACACATTTCAAGTTGTTAAAACCTTTAAATAGATGAAGAAGTATATTTACTTGAGTTTAATGATAATTTATTTTAATGCCAGAGAGAGCGAATATCCATATTTTCTTTATCTAAACAAATTTAGAGTTAACTAAAATATTTAAATGATAAACTTTTTTTTTAATTGAAAATAATCTATTGCAATGCACTGGTTGGTTTTTTTAATAATTGAAATAAAAATCCATATGCAATGAAAATTAAGGAGTCTGCTAAGGAATCTGAAAAATGATAACATGTGTAAAGTAAAGTAGATTGTTCGAAGTCAACAGTCAAACCGTATTTCGTTTGACAGTTGAAGAAATTCGACTCCAATGCTTTCGTGTAACATAACTCACTCCTTTTAAAATATATATTAAAATGTTCATTTTAAACATAAATATTGTAAACAAATATAATCGTAGCAAATAATTTTTTCAGTTACATCATGTAGCACCTTTTGATGTCAAAATCGGTACAATAATCTTTCTACGAAATAAAGCACCAACTTTATATGTACAACTATAACTAAGATTTCAAATAATAGAAGCGTTTTGTACAAAAGAGAAAATTGGGTACTTGCACTTTAAGAAGAAGATCATTGATACCCAGACATGTGACCTCTTGGATGCTTTGCGCATGCTAATGGATAAATGTGTGAACCCAATTTTCCCCAGATCAGTTTGTGATATTTATAATTCCCTTCTTGCAGAGAAGAAAGTTTGTTTGCAATCGGAGCAAGTAAGGAATTTTATAACATCATAAACTGATATAGGGAAAATTAAGCTTGCACTTGATCTCCGTGAGCATGCGCAATATCATCGATACCCACACTACGCCACTTGCAGGTATCACATTGAAAAACTAATAACTTTATAGGATTGCTCAAGCATCTTTTTTCTAAACTATGAACGCAGGTTTAAAAAAAACTCAATGCATTTCGAAGTAAAGAAAAAAATTCTAAAGATGTAAACTTTTTCTTAAAAGGTGGTCTGCTAGTTAAATTTTTAAAAAATCACGTCTAGTTCGTATTTGAGCAGTTTTTTTTTTTTGTTTGTTTTTTTGACTTATTTAATTAAACATTGAGCTAAGGAACCAATTGAAATTGTGCGTGTTAAAAAGTGAAATCAGACTGATAACATATGATGCTTTTTTTTTCTGACGTCAAAAAGTTTTCTACTAAATGATGCACACTTGAGCAATTCTATTGATACACAAAAACACATACATATGTATACATACATATTTATATCCATATTTATATATGTACTTACCACATGGGCTTCTCAGATGTGTTGCAAAATAAAAATTGAAAGACTAAATAACTACGCCTATTACCTCTACTCATGATGAAAAAGAAGAATTAGCTGTAGTCTACGTATGTCAAAAAAAGCACCATCTTCATAGTAAAGATAACTTAAAAAAATGACTGATAATGTAAATGCTTATTCTGAAATGGACAGATACCAGCATTATCGTTATTTTAGCACACGTGAGATATTTATGAAAATGTTTTCGAATAGGACCGGGAAGAAGTTTAAAATCAATTGCTAAAATCGTTTTCTTTTTATTCGTTATTGAATAAAAATATTATCGCTTGTTTTAATCATTTATTAAATAAAAAAATTTTTTGTTATTTTATTGAAAATGACAACTGTTTAGAAAAGGAAATAAAGTGTTAGCAACTTTAAGCTATGAAATAAGCTATATTTATATTTTTAGGCTATATGTTGGATTATATTTAGAGAAATTTAAGATGTGTTATTAAAATCGTTTTCTACTTCGAAATCGTTTTCTTTATGTGCATTATTGAAAAAAAATGTTAGTGTTTGGCTTCATTATTAAATATTGAAATTTGTTTTTTCTCATTTTATTGAACACTACATCGATTTCGAGAAAAGAAATAAAAGCTCTTAACACCTTTAGAAAAATTGATGTAAAAATGTTTTTAAAGCAAATTTTTTCTTTGTTATTTCAATTAATTAATAAACATTAATTTCTTTAAGTAATTTTAAAAAACTATTGGAATTTATTATTTGTTTTATTTATCTATTCTGTTATGTGTATAAGTTTGCTTTAGAATGCTTTTATGAGTTAAAATTTTTTTATAGAACATTACAATTGCACTGGAAAAAAACACCATAACACCATAAAAAATAAAAAATAAATGCTAAGCATCTTTGAAAAACATATTCTCAAAAGGTTTTGTTCATTAGGATAATTCATTATTAAACATAAATATCTTTACGTAATTTTGCATAAAAATTGAGCTTGTTAATATTTTATACTTATTTGTTCCATTATGTATATAAAATTTCTTAAAATTATCTTGAATGTGGATTATATGCTTTTTCCCTCTTTTTCAATTTTAGAAACTATTTTAAAATGATAATTTTGTAGATGTTTCCTTTATAAAACTTATCATTTCATATATAAATGCTACATTAATAAATATTGAGCTTGAAAATCGCCCCGAAAAGGCATGGAAATTGCTTTATGTAAATTCATTTCTAAAAGGATTATTAAATGACAAATTTATAGCAATGAAAATGTTCCAAATAAGGAATTCTTTACTATATATGTTAATAAGAAACACCAGTTAAAATAGTAGAAACAAAAAACTGTTTTGGAAAAAAAATTAATTCCAAAATTTTTTTATTTTTTTTATTAAAAACCCGCATAAATTGTATATTAAAGTTGGTCATTTGTTTCATAGCATTTAAATATGGTATGGACGATTAGGGTTAAAAGTTTTTTTTAAATTTTTTTTATAAAATGATCTTTCACCAGCGACCCTCTAGTCTGACAATTCATTACGAAAATTAAAAACATTTTATGCGTAAAAAAAATCCGTTTTTTTTATTGATAGTTTTATTGGCAGAATACAATTTAAAGCGCTAATTGCTAGTGCATTTTTTTCTATCGATTATTTGAATTGGATTTTTTAAAATTATAAAAAAAATTTAAATGATATTTAAGTATTTTTACATAGATAAACAATTAACTTTAAAAAAATTCAGATCTTATGATTGAAATTTTACAACATTTTGCATTTCAAATTTTATCAAAAGTTTCTAGTAAACTTTTTATTTGAAAAGAATCTTTTTTACTGCTAAAAAGTTGGTAAATTTTGACCATCCTAAGAATAGAAAAGTGGTATTTTTATGCTTTGTATACATTAAGAGATTATTTAAAAAAATTCATATTTTGCATTTATTAAACAACAGTTAAGAATATGTTTGAATTTTTGCATTTTAAATTGGTTTTACTACATTAAAGAATATAAAAGTGTACGTAAGTTCCTTTACCTACTTAAAAGGACTAAATCATGATAATGAATACTATAAAATATTTACAGATATTGATGAGAAATAATAGAAGCTTTTAGAGATAGTTAAATTATGAAGTAAGAAACTTAATAAAAAAATAATCACTTAATCATTCGAAGGTCACCGGCTAATCTATCAAGAGAACGTCTGTTATGAAGCTGTCAATTCCAAATTGATACATTTTTTAAAAAAAGAACACCTTCCTTTCGTTCCTGTCTTTCTTCACACAGTCTATGCCCTGACATTCACGCGCAATCAAGAGTAACATTTTCCTTTCCATAATGTGAAGATATGCACAGATAAAAATTGGACGTTAATGCTTGGATTGAACCTTTCATAGCTATTGTTGCCGAAAAGCTGAGGCAATCAACCTATGAAAATTCAATTTGTGAAATTGCATTTATAGTAACAAGAAAGAAAAACTTTTTTTTTCTTCTTAGAAAGCCTTTAGTTAATACAGGAAATCATATTTTAAGTTAAAAATTTAATACTTAATTTGAAAAATTAAAAAATAAGTCGTAAAAATTTGTTTGAAGGAAATAAACAATCAAAGAATATTAAATTACAAGTTAAATGTGCCAAATCAAACGAAGTTCTGCAGTTATTTGTAAGATTAAGATATTTGAGTGATGCAGTTTAATTTAAGGACCAGCATAGTTATTGTAAAAAGTTAAGGCTAATAAAAAATTAATAATAATGAGCTATTATAATTATATTTTGTCAGAAAAAATGTAAAGTAAATTTCATAAAACAAACAAGTTCCTTATTTCCAAAAAATCCCCGTTTTTAATTTTGTCTTATAAACAAAAACCATAATAAGCTATTAATTTAGTTTTTGAAGGCTCTTAGCACGTCATAGGTGATTTTTTGCAAATCTTAAAAACTAATACAAATGAAGCATATATATCTTATAAAAGTCAGATCAGAAAATGTAATAAAATATTAAGGAAAAGGAGTGATTTTATTTTTAAAAAATTCAGGAAATCAAAATAACTATATTTAATGTAAAATTATTTTTAAAAAATAAGAAAAATTGACAGACTAAGCAATGAATTTAAAAGCAAAGAACTATAATTGTCAAAGTAAATTCACATTTAAAATAAGAACAATTATATACAAATGATGAATAAAATAAATGCGTAAGAAAAAACATGAACAATAAATTAATTTATAAAAACTTTTAAGGTACCCTACATAAAATATAAACTAATTTACTATGAACACATTTAAAATCAGAAGAAAAAAATTACCTTTTTTTATGTTTCATACAATTTTTTGATCTCGCAAATTTCAGTTTTAAAATGTTAAAGCAGATACTTAATGATTCAATACAAATTTCATAAAACAATTTTTTTACCAATAAGGAATAAGGATAAATTTCACAGAAATTCTTTCACATTGGCGACAACAACTACGAATGCAATGCATCGTGATCTATTTCACCTTGAAATGGTTATAGAACCAGAAAAGCCATAACAAAAAGGAAAGTTTCATTTGTAACTATCTTTTTTTTAGTTGAATGCCGCTATAAGAAAAAGTTTCTCCACTTCTTGCTTCATTCATATAGCAGTTATCTAACTTGGCACAGTCACACATTAAGATACATAACCTACGTTCAGTCCAGAGTTCATTATAAGGAGCGAAATGTTTATACAGCACTTTCTTTTCTGCAAAATGTTCCGTGTTACCTTTTTTTTGGATTTTGTATATTTATATAAAAATCTTCCAATCAGAGTTTGATAATTTATAGATCTAATTCATCAACATCAAGCAAAAAGTGATCGGCAAAACTTAAAAAATTATTCTTATTGTGGAGAATTAGTAAAATTGGATAATTTGTATTCTGAATAATCTATAATTATGATAGTTAAATTAGTGGATTTGATTAGAATTAATAAGGAAAAAAGTAGCCACATAGAATAAATATTTAGAATGCTAAATAATCTTAAGCTTATTATCTTTGTATTCTATTCATAAATCAGATAAAAAATAATTTATAAATTAATTGCATATGCATGAAACGCATCAGTGTATTTTATTAAAGTTCAACCATTTACTTTCTTGCTTAGATGCTGGTGAATGCAAAGAAAACCTAACCAGTTCATCTTTGGCATTTTGTTAAACCTTCTAATGAAGTAACTTCCTTTGGATGTCAAATGAAAATTAAAAATTAACACAAACAAAATAAAAAAGAAGAAACTAGCTTCTTGTTTTTCATTTCTCCTTTTACAATTTCATATTTTACTCAGGTTTTTCTTCCTCATTGTTTTCCCTAGATTCAACATTTTCGCTATCTGTTGCCTCAGCTGTGGTATTCTCTTCTTCCTTTTCTGCTTCCTCTCCCGTTTGCTTCTCTTCGTTTTCCTCTCCATCGCCGCCATCTTGGATCGATTTTTCCCCATCTTTCTCACAGCCGCCATTTTGTTCAGACTGTTCTCCGCCAGATGGCGCGGTCTCGTTCTCATCACTCTTTGCAGTCACATCTCCATTGCAGGCCTCTTTTTCGTCTCCCGTTGTATCTGCGAATGAAAAAGAACAAAATATTAAATCCAATGAAAATATGCTCAGAAAATAAAAAAGTGAGAGAGATTCAAATTTCTTATTAATGCCACCGGAAATGAATTTTTTTTTATTTCTTTAGCAGTTAAACCATACAGGCAGATATTGTTACATTTTCCCCTTTTCTACCATATGAGAGTTGAAATTATTTATTCGCTGTTGTGTAAATTAATTATTTGTATTTTTATTATGTGAAGGTTTGCCGCAAGGAGAAGGTCATTATCATCTTATCTGTCTTTCTTTTCACTGATGTTAAGGTCAAGTTACACTTCACTTAAGAGTTTACGATGAACAAAGAGTACAACTCACAAAAGTCCGTTATGTGAGTTAGCTGTTTAAAAAATATTTTACGTAAATGATTTATTAAAACTCTGAGTAAAAGTATATTACACTCATTCAGTATTAAGATTTTAATGCATATTTTGTTTTTATAATATCGGAGACATGTGGAAAAATGCCAATTCCAAAAAAAATAATAAAGCTTTTATACTATCTCGTAGTGGTTCTCTAAATTGTTTTGAATAGCTTTAAAAAATTTCGAAGTTTTAATATGGTTCATTTCATTGAATTCAATAAAATCATGAAGCTCATTAAAATAGAAGTTTCATCGAATTGTTTATTTTACTTTTGGACCCCTACCACAGATTACACGATTGAAAGAAAATAAGAAGATTCAAAGGAACTTATTTTTATACAATGATATTTCAGAAGAAGTTTTAGTATGTTTAAGTGAGTAAATCACAAAAAGAACCAGTATTTTTTAAAATACCAGCATCCACTATAGGTTAAAGCAACCAAAATCAATTTTATAATTTTATTTATTTTTCACTTTATAACCATCCTTGAACAACTGACCGAATTTTGAGTTTATGACTACCAATGTTCAACTCCGTAGTCTTGTAATTTTAAACCCAATCCATAAGGGAAAAAAAACTCCTGGATCAAGTAATAGGAGAAATTTGCCTTCGTGGGGGACCTTTTGATGGAACTAACCCGCATTTGCGTTAGATGAGAAAGTAAACCACGAAAACTATCACGGTTAGTCTGACGGAGGAGACTCTAATCCATGATCCATCTCTCACTGAGAATATATCACGTCTGCGCTGTGGTCGGTGCGAGTTGGGTAAGGAATTCGTATCCGCCAGCCAATACTGTGATTCGAAACCGGGTCACCTCATTGTTAAGTGAGCTCTCTATTTTTTAATATTTTTCATTAACGAAAATTGAACAGTAAGACAGAACGAATTATCAAATCATACAACATCGCATGAATAATCATTTTTATAACATCGTGTAAATTATCATATCATTTCACATTATTATTATGCATTATATAATAATTATGTCATTTGATTTGCAACATGCTCCAGTATAAACAGATTTTACGATAAAAAGTACCGACATTCTGAGTGTCGGTACTTTTAAAAATAATTTGGTCTGCAATTTCTTACAGCATAGCTCATTTTCGAATCAAGATTTACTTCATTCCTTGAATTTTTATATACTGCAATTTATTTTCCTAAAGGTGAACAAACTTTAAAACACTATTTACGATAAATTTGACAATATATTCAGTAAATATGTATAAATAACAGATTATCCAAATTATAGCCCAATAAAGTTATTATTATTTACGTTTATTTCGTGAATTTAGTGTCATTTTAAAAGCAATCAAGAATTTTATATTGTGATAAAATTCAAACATTAAATTATAGTTTTTGCTTATAAGGAAATTAATTTATACCTGAGATAATGAAATCAACATGCAACTAGTAAAACTCAATTGCCTTGTAAGTTTTTAACTTTATTTCAAGTTGGTATGCATTTATTTAACATTACGTTTAGATGTGTACTTTCTTATTTATTGATTGCATACAGACTAAGAATAAAAAATTTTCAGTAAAGAAAATTTTAATGAAAACTATATCATATTTTAACTAGTTAAATTCTCATTTATTATATTTAAAAATTATTTTTCACTCAAAAATCTGTATTGCTTATTAAGATTAAGTCCCTAACAATGTGCATGCAAACAAAAAAAATATGTTTATAACAGAAGCGCAGTTTTTATTTTGTATCACCTTGACAAAACTACTAATTGTACCTTTAACAGAAATTGAAAATAATCTAATTATTTTAAAACAACAGTTTTCTTTGCTTAAGTTTTATATATTTTCATTTTTTCTTTGGTTAAGAGACTTTTTTACCATGCCTAACTTTAAAAGAATTTCCAATCAACTTTAGAACATTTTTTACTGATTCCTCTATAGCATCATCCGTTAATCAAATTAATAGAACCCACAAGGAATTCCCTTTTCTTCTAACAAAAAAAAATAAAATAATAATCTTAGAATCTCCTCTTAATCTACTTTAGTGGAAGAGGGTATTGTTCTTTTGTTGCCTAATTGAATGATCCGAAGTTCTTTTTTTCTAAGGATGGCTATTGAACCAGATGGGAGAAAATGATCGTCTGCTTAGATATTTTCTTTATCAAAGAGTGTGACAAATGTACCCCATCTTCTTGTTAACGTCAACAGGCATATGAAACTGAAGAGGAAAAAAAACACTGTGTGGGTTATTAAAAGTAAGTGAGCGTGCAAACGTGAGATATTGGAACACCATTTTTCAAATAAAGCGTTCTTGTTTGCAAAGTTTTTTTTTTCATTCATTATTTTTCAATTCTTAATGATTTAAGACTTACTTTTTCTTCATAAAAATTGACATTGTTGTGCGTTGTGCAAAATTAACAGCCTACCGAGAGGGGAAGAGTGTAATTCAATAAACTGGCACATTTTAATTTACTTTTAATTATATTAATATTTTTACATTCCTGAAGACGCTGTCAAAAAGTTTGGAATCTGCTAAAGCAAAGTATCATTTAAATTTATTTGAATCATAATATGGTGAACTATATTTTTCTTTATATTGCAACCATTGTTGAACAACCGACCCAATTTTATGCGCTTACGACAATGTTCAACTCCGAAACCTTGTAGTTTGGAACCCAATACAGAAGACAAGGAAACTCCTGGATCGAGTATTGGGAGAAATTTGCCTTCGTGGAGGACTTTTTGATGGAGCTTACCCGCATTTGCATTACATGGAGAGGAAGACCACGGTTAGCCAGACGAAAAGGGACTCTAACCGTCTACCACTGAGGATATTTCCCGTCAGCACTGTGGGCGGTCCAAGCCGGATGCGGTTTTCGTATCGACTGGAATTCGAACCCGGTTCGCGCATTGGAAGGCAAACGCTCTATCCTCTGGGCCTTCATGGCACTGATAAACTATATTGTATAATTTCATACGAATTTAACATTATGTTTAATGTTTATGTTATGTTATGTTATGTTATGTTATGTTATGTTATGTTATGTTATGTTATATTATGCTATGTTATGTTATGTTATGTTATGTTATGTTATGTTATGTTATGTTATGCTATGTTATGTTGTGTGTAATGTTAACGCCTTATTATGCATGCACCAAATTTGCATTAGATAACAGTATTAAGGTTCAACATGCTACTGCCAGCAAACTCATGTACGCGATGTTAACACAATGCTGCTGCCAGCAGCATCGCGCATACTGTGTTAACCAAATATTTTTAAGAATGCAAACACGATTATTTTTCTTTAGAATTTATAATGCACTTCGATTACTTTTAAGGATGGTGTGACATTAAAATAATTGAAAGATTTTAAACATCAAAGTTAAATTTTTTTCTTAAAAATTTTCATTTATTTTAATGCTGCTTCTCTTGTATTTTTTTAATCGTGTTGCATAAGTAATGTTTGTATTTATTAAGGAACATGCATAGAGTGAACTTGAATGCATATTCTGAGATATCATAAAATATACATTCATGAGCACGCTACTTGCGATCTAGCCTGTTAATATTTTCAAATTACTATGTGTTATTAGTTATTACAAGAATAATAATGCTTGTTAACAATAAACATTCATTAAAGATTAAAATCTAATCACTTTAAAAATAATGATAAATTAATAACCATCTTAAAAAAAGTTTGTTTGTTTACGCGAATGAATACAAAATGAGTGAAATTAGTTTTTACTTAAATGCTAACATAAAATTACATTTTAAATTCATAAAAGCCGTTTTGAAACTAAGGGATTATACAAAAAGAGCACACAGCAAGATATAAAAGCAATCGAAATTATAAAATTGTTCTATGATAAAAGGTTAGAATCAAAATTGAATTTCAAAGACTCTTAGAAAAAAATTACTTACACACTTATTAAAAAAGGACTCGATTGGCTTATAAATACATTAATAAACAAAAAAATTCTTTTCTGACACATTAAAATGAGTTTTACAAATATTTTTATTTATTAATTCAATTCAATTTTGAAAAAAAAAATTAAATTTAAGAAGATTAAAATAAAAATATATTATTTGTTCCCCATTTAATGTATTAAAATGTAATATTTATCATTTGACAATGCAGTGAAAAGTAAATCAGATATTTAAAGAATAAAATGAGTGCACTGTTTTTAAATTAAAATTATCATACATACTTTAAAATATAAATAAAATTGAATTGGAAAATATTTCGAAATACCGTTTATAAAAATAAAAACTGCTATTTGTTGAAATTCTGTTTAAAATATGTAGGTCACTGTTTTTCAATTGAATGAAATCCCGATTATTCCCCCCATCCATGATTTTTCTTCAATACAATACATGGGGAGCACCCCTTATAGGGTAAAAGGAAAGAGATATTCATGCAAAAACAGAATAAAAATTTAAAAAAAAAAAAACTTGTTCGTTTTCTCCTTCCTCCAATAGCTTGAATAGTCATTTTTTTCATTATTACTCCAAGCTTAGCTAAATTTCTGTATCTGTTCCATAAACTGAGCTGTATTCTATTTAATATAAATTACTATTTAATGCGGTAATAGAACTTTTTCTTTTGAAAACCAATTTAGTTTTATTTAAG